GAGCAGCAGGAGTCGGAGTTGGACTTGTAAAGCAGGAGTCTCGGCGCAAGCGTGCGTTCGGCACGTGCCTCATGCTTCTGGCGACGACTGGGCCGCAGGCGAGGGACCCACTTGGCCCACCAGATGCTCTACACGCAAAACTGCGCGTGCGGCGCTGGGGGTCTCCCGCAGTAGTCTCGGCACGCGTGAGCTCGGCACGTGCGTGTTGCGCGCGACTGGCCACGAAGGAGCCGCAGGCGAGGGACCTAGCTTAGCCCGCCTGGTTCCTTACACGTCGTTCATTTCCAATCGTGCTCATTTCTAATTGTGCTCGTTTCTAATTCTTCCTGGCCCCCCAGTGGCCAGGAAGAGGCCCATGATAGCACAATCAGAAATGAAAGGATCTTGGCCCCCCCAAGAAGCAAAGACCCTTCGAAGAATCAGACATGAGCAATGTGTACACGTACAGGTCCGTGCGCGGAGGGGGGGGGACCCAACATGCGCCTATCGCGCGTGCGCGCGGCCGCTCTCGTGTTTTTTGTTCACGAGCCCATGGCCCCCAGCGAGGGGCGCAATTGGAGCTTGCTGGCTTCTTGCTGCGTTGGGGGCATTGGGATAAGGAGGCCTTAGAATTCGGTCGGGCCTGTCCCCCTACAGGCCGATTCTGGACTAACAAAACATACATAACACATTCTCCAAAATGGTCAAACATACCAAAAAACATCCCCTGATTATTTGTTTTGACTATGAATCTTTCTCCTGTAGAGGGACAGGCCCGACTTAACCTTAGAGAAGGAATCCAGGGTCTGGAGGCTGGACGACGTCCAATCGAAGCTTGGCCGTGGATATCACCACCGCCCTCATCAGATAAGGAACCCTCCAGGGTCTGCAGCCACCTGGGCGCATGCCTTCACTGACGCCCCCGCCGCACGTGCGCGGGAGGGGGGGAAAACATCATGCGCCTGGCGCGTGCGCGCGTGGCGGGTACTTTCACGTGTCCACGGCCCCGATACAAGCAAATAGGTGCGCGGACGGGGGGGGACCCAACATGCGCCTGGTGCGTGCGCGCGTGGCGGGTACTTTCACGTGCCCACGGCCCCGATACAAACAAAGAGGTGCGCGGAGGGGGGAGGGGGGGACCCAACGTGCGCCTGGCGCGTGCGCGCGTGGCGGGTACTTTCACGTGCCCACGGCCCCGATACAAACGAAGAGGTGCGCGGAGGGGGGGGGACCCAACGTGCGCACGACGCGTGCGTGCAGGGCATGCGTTTTTTCACGCGCCCACGGCCCCCAGGAGGGGACCCAACATGGGGCTCGTCTGATTTCTTACGCCTGAACACTGGCCATCGCTCGGACGTCCATCCCCTGTGCTTTTGTTCGGCTTCGTGCGTGGCTTTTGTTCGCAGGATGCTCCCGAAGAATCCCCGCCGAGAAAAAAGTGCACACGTCCGAGCGATCCCAAGGAACATGCGTGCGCGGAGGGGGGAGGACCCAACATGCGCCCGTCGCGTGCGTGCGGAACGTGTATTTTCACGTGTCCGCGGCCCCCGGGGACGTGCAGGAGGTGGTGGCTGCAGCCACGCAAAAGGGGAAGTGCTGCATGCGCGTCAGAAGAAAGCTTGACTCAAGTTCCCGAACCGGTTCGTGGATCACTGGGTTTCCCCAGACATGGCGCTTGCTCTTAGAGGCTTCTGACTTCTCTTTCCTGAGGAGCTGGGCCTGGCTCTCGGTCGGGTCGGCCTGTGTCGGGCCGGGCGACAGAGGGGGGGACAGCAAAGGGGGGGTTTGAGAGTCAGCTCCCGTAGCCGATTCTCCCGGCGCCTCCGGCCATGCATCGAGGACTGGGCCCGGCGGCGGGGCCGAAACCGGCTGCATGCAGTAGATTTCGACCCCCCCCCCTTTCCCTATCCCCCCCTGTCGTCCGGCCCGTCGGTGGCCGCCCGCCGCCACCCGTCGCCGCCGTCCCTCGGTCACGACCTTGATCGTGCGAGGGCCTGGTCGTCGGTCCAGCTGGCCCGTGGCCGCCCGCCGCAGGCCACCGCCGAAGTCCCTGGTCACGTTTTTTGCATGTGCGAGGCTCGCGCGCATGGCAGTGCTCTGCAGTGCATTGCGTTGCTTTGCGCTGAATGTCTGTTTGCATCGCATCGCACTGCTTTGCCACTGAATGCGCCGCAATACATTGCGTCGTTTTGCGCTGTTCTGCACTGCGCTACATGGCTTCACCTTGCAGTGCGCCGCGTAGATTGCACCACATGGGTTGCACTACCTGGATTGCACCGCGCAGAGTGCGTGAGATCATTGTGTGGGGCCCACGCTGGCTACCATGTTCTTCTTCATGAGAATGGGGACCCCGAGATCCGACGCTGCGAAATCATTGCGCCATCGCGAAAGGTCAAGCCCTAAACCCACCTCTCTGCGGCATCTCTCGAGCCTGGCTGGGGCCCGAATCTGGGCGGCACCACCTGGCACGACAAAAGAGCAGCGCCCGGATCCGAGGGGAGGACCCCCCCCGCCGGAAGGCCTTCCAGAGAGCGCCCTATCCAGTAGGCGTACTTCACGCCCTGGGTCCCCCGGACATCGGCCCACCACCTGCAGCGGCGCGGGCGCTCCGCGCGGGCCACGCGGCGCAAGACGACGCCGCAAAACGACGCCGACGGCAACGACGACGACGACGGCGGCGGCGGCGAGGGCGGCGAGGAGGGCGGCCGGGGCGACGACGAGGGCGGCGGGCGACGAGGACGACATCGGACAGCGGGCTCACGACGGGCGGCGAGGACGGCGACGATAATGGCGGCGACGACGCCCGCGAGGCTTGGCGCCCTGGGGTCGTGCTGCACTGCTGCCCTCGGGGGCCACCGCCGCAGGAGGACAGCCGGGCTCGAAACACGAGGCCTGCGATTGCGCCTGGACGTCCACTCTCCGTGCATGTCTCGTTTTCGTGGATGCCATTTGGCTCGCCAGACTGTCATACCCCTTTTCGTCTCGTTTTCGTGGGTGCGTTCTGTCTCGTTTTTCGTTTTCGTCTTCTCCGTGCATGCCTGGCGATGCCTGTGACCCTCGCCAGACTGCCAGGCCCCTCCCTCGGGGTGGCGCAGCGGACCTCCAGGAGATCGGAGCGCGAGTCGTAACTTTCAATCTCGTCGACCGGGTGGGGCGACGACGGGGCCCTACGCGCCGCCACGCCGCGACGTTGGCCCCAGGACGCCGCACCCGGAGTCGAGTGGGAAGGGGAGGAGGAGGAGGAGGAGGAGGAGGAGGAGGAAGAGGAGAAGGAGGAGGAGAAGGAGGAGGAGAAGGAGGAGAAGGAGGAGGCGGGGGAGGAGGAGGAGGAGGAGGAGGAGGAGAGGAGGAGGAGGAGGACGAGGGAGGAGGAGGAGGAGGAGGAGGAGGAGAGGAGAGGAGGAGGAGGAGGAGGAGGAGGAGGAGGAGGGAGGAGGAGGAGGAGGAGGAGAGGAGGAGGAGGAGAGGAGGAGGAGGAGGAGGAGGAGGAGGAGGGGGGGGAGGAGGAGGAGGAGGAGGAGGAGGAGGAGGAGAAGGAGGAGGAGGAGGAGGAGGAGAGGAGGAGGAGGAGGAGGAGGAGGAGGAGGAGGGAGGAGGAGGAGGAGGAGGAGGAGGAGGAGGAAGAGGAGAAGGAGAAGGAGGAGGAGAGGAGGAGGAGGAGGGGGGAGGAGGAGGAGGAGGAGGAGGAGGAGGAGGAGGAGGAGGAGGAGGAGGAGGAGGAGGAGGAGAAGGAGGAGGAGGAGGAGGAGGAGGAGAGGAGGAGGAGGAGGGAGGAGGAGGAGGAGGAGGAGGTGGAGGAGGAGGAGGAGGAGGAGGGAGCAGGAGGGGAGGAGGAGGTAGAGGAGGAGAGGAGGAGGAGGAGGAGGAGGAGGGGAGGAGGAGGAGGAGGAGGGAGGAGGAGGAGGAGGAGGAGGAGGAGGAGGAGGAGGAGGGGAGGAGGCGGAGGAGGAAGAGGAGAAGGAGGAGGAGAAGGAAACGGAGAAAGAGGAGGAGGAGGAGGCGGAGGAGGAAGAGAGAGAAGGAGGAGGAGGAGGAGGAGGAGGAGGAGGAGACGGAGAAAGAGGAGTAGGAGGAGGATGAGGAGGAGGAGGAGGAGGTTAAAAGGAGGAGGAGGAGGAGGAGGAGGAGGAGGAGGAACAAGGAATCAGGATGAGGGGGAGAACGACGAGGAGAAGGACAAAGACGAGGAGGAGGAGGATGATGATGATGAGGAGGAGGAGGAGGAGGAGGAGGAGGAAGGGGAGGAGAAGGAGGCGGAGAGGCAGGACGAGGAGGAGGAGGAAGAGGAGGAGGACGACGAGGCCGAGGACGAGAAGGAGAAGCAGGAGAAGCGGGTGGGGGAGGCGGGCTCGCGGCAGGAGGCCAGCATTTGCATGCAAGGAATAATCTGCAACATCGAAGAATGGCACGTCGAAACACCGGCGGCGTATCCTCCATCCTCCGTCTTTCTGGGCCTCCTGGAGGCCTCTCGTCGCCACGGCGACCTTCCACCTCGAAGAGCGGTTCGGACTGGACCTCGGGAGGAAAGGGGGCCGGGGGCCGGCTTCTGAGCTGCAGGCTGGCCCTTCTCCGACAACAACGTTCCCGAAATCCCCACAAAAAACGCACTGTGGAACATTCATCGTGGGAGAAGAGGGAGGGAGGAACACAGCGGATGGTGGAAATTGGCGCCTTCGGTTCTACGAGGACGGCCGTGGGGCGCATGTTGGCTTCCTTCCCTACGGCCGTCCTCGTTGGCCAGGAGCCCATAGGGAGAACCTCGGCCCCCTTTTGAGCGCCAGCGACGGCTTCATGGATTGGTGAACTCATGGGTGTAGGACCCCAGGCCCCTATGATGGTAGCTGCCGAAGGGTGGCGGCTATGCCGGTCACCGCTGGACGGGCAGAGGCCTAATATGGTCCTCGACAGAGGAGGGGAGGGAGGGGAGGCCGATGTCCGGGATCGTCTGGCCGTCCGTGACGAGTCCTGGTCCTGAGGCGGGGATTCCTGAAAGGGGGGGCAAAACAAAAAAGGGCATACACAGCTTCGAACCCGAACTAAATGGGCCCTGCGCACACGGTACCCCGCGGCGGGGGATAACGAGTGCACGCGCTCACGCTTTGGTGCCAGATTGTTGCGCCCATTGGGGCGGACGAAGAGTGATCCCCATGGGGCAAACCAAGGGCCCCGCGGATGCATCTCGAACGCCTCTGGTCCTGCGCCTCCACCATCGCCCCCGCCTCCGCCGTCTCCTGTTCCCCTCTCCCTCCCACTCTCTCCCTCCCTCCGTCCGCCCCGCCCTCTTCCTTCGACGGCGTCCGGGAGAAAACCTCCTCGAACCCAGAAGCTCGAAACTCGCCCAAACAAATCCTGCTCACCGGCACCAGTGATGGGCCACCCTGAGGCCCGACGGCGCGAAAAAAAATGCAACATCGCTGCAAATCACAGGTGGGGCCCTAGACCCCACCAGTCACCGCCACCTTTCGAACCGCGTCGGTCTCTGAGGACCCCAGGCCCGAAGCTGACGAATATGCCCAAGTCGAAAACATTGAGAAGCCAGGATCTCAGGGCATCTCAGACCCCCAGCCAGCTCCAACTCCTCACTCTCGCGGCCGCCCCTGGGTCCTGGGCGACGGAGGCGGCGACCCGAGATAGCCGAAGGATACGGCCTTGCTGGCCGTCCAGGAGGAGGGACCGAGGGACCGACGCTATCGCAACGGTTTGTCCGTCGCGCCCGCCGCCCCAGCCCCAGAGCGGGTACCAGTCCCCCCAGGGATCCGACAGGGCGACGCGGCCCAAAAGGGCCAAGACCCGAAGGCGACAAAAACCGCAGCACGCCAAAGGTCAGGGCCCAGCCCAAGGCACCCCACGGAACCATCAGGGCCAGGTACCCCTCGAGGGCGCAGCCTGCTTTCGCTCAAGGCCTGAGGGCAGGGAAGGCGACGAGCCTGCACCTGGGAGGACTCCTCGAGCTCCAGAGCTGGGGTAGTCCTCGAATTCCACGCCGAGGGCTTGGCAGACCGCCGACCACTGGGCGCGCTCCGCGTAGAGCTCCTCGAAAAACTCCTCGCCCTCCCCGAAGTGGCCCGCCTCTCTGAGGCCGATCAGCTCTAGGAGGGTGTCCATGACCACCTTGGCACGCTGCACCTTGATGTCCTCCTGCTGCTCTGCCTCCTCCTCGATGGGGTCCAGCACGCTGCTGTCGCCCATCTGCTGGAGCGATGGGGAGGCCTCCACCTTCGCGATGCTCGCCACCACCGCCTTGCACTCCACGAAGTTGCCCTTCCCAAGGTCGTGCCGACCACCTGGTCGGTCGCGAGCCGCCGAGACGCAGCTGCTCCTCCTTCTTGTAGATGTTGCTGTTGGCCCGCAAGACGTCGTCCCACGACGAGCCAGACCCGCCCAGCGACGTGAACGGTGGAACCGCCTCCAGCTCTTTGACCACCCTGCTGTCGTACCAGTCCAGCAAAGCATCCTCGCTCGTGCTGCTGCCCTGGCCGTCCTCCTCGTCGTCGAGCCCGGGGGTTTTCAGGCTTCCGCGCGACCGCGCCGAACTCCTTCACCGAGCCCCGCTCCTTCAGTCCACCTCCCTGGCCGCCCTGGCCGAGAGCGAACCCGAGCGGTGCCTCTTCTCGTGCTTCTTTGACGTCTTGTCCTTCTTGTCCTTCTTCTCCGTCGGGGCCTCAACCGCGGGCGTCGACTTGGCTCCCAGCAGCGACGACGGCGGGTCCGAACTGGTCCTCGGGGTCCGCGAACGCGAGCGGGGGCGCGCTGCCGTGGTCGTTGACCAGCGCGACCAGAGCGTGCCCACCTTCACTGCCTCCTGATGCGACTTGCGGCCGGACAAACCGCTCTGGTGGAAGACCTCGAACGAGTACGGCTCCGCCCGTCCTCGTCGCAAGCCTCGATGCTGGCCGCGGTGCCACCCATGCGCCTGGCGGCGCCTCCAGGTTGCCGTCCTCGATCGCCAGCAGCGGCGGCGGGGCCGGAGACGGCCTGGCCTTCGCAAGGATCCCAGCGGTGCGGATTGGGCACCGCGCGATGCGAGACCTCAGCGCAGCAAGCACCGAAGCCTCCACCGCGGCCGAAACGATCTTCGCCGCGAAGGATTGCTGCGGCGCTGCTGCTCTGCCGCCCCAGTCCGCCGCGGCACCGTGGCGCGCCGTGACTTCAGCTCTCGCGCGCGCTGCCCCCCTGAATCCTACGCGCGAAAGGCCCCACCTGGGCCCAGAGGGGCCACCGTCCAGGAGGAGGAGTTCTGGGGTTCTGGATGTAGCGACTAGGTCGGGGACAAACTACTTAAACGACAGATTTCTGCTTCTTGGCTAGCTCAGCTCTGCTGTAAGCTTTGGGCCAAATTCCACGCGACATCCGATCAATATAATCGGACCGATTACCTTCAACACACCCAACACACGGCTTTGCTAGTTCCCTAAGCTGCTGAACTGCATAGAACCCGCACGCTGAGCAGAACCAGACCCCCAATCCCGCGTGATGCCGCAAATTATGTGTCGGATCGGGAAAACCCCCTGCGATGTGCGCCCGCCGCCCAGGGGGGGGGATCGAACAAAATCCCGTCCACACTAATTAAGTCAAAGCAAAAGGAGGTTAGCCGGTCCTTACGCTTCGCTTTGGCGGCTGTGCCCTCACATCTGCTACACTTAGCGGCATTAGACTCGCACAAGACATGCTGAGACGAGAACATTGCGCAGACAGAGGGGGCAGGAGGCCTAGGTTGGACACGGCGGGCAGCTTTCCTACCGAGGCTCTTCTCGTGCTCCTGCTCAACTGCTAACGTCTCAATAGTGCTCTGGAGAATCCTCATTCTAACCAAAAGCGCTTGATGCTCAGTGGCATGGACACGGGCACGACTCATTTCAGGCACTCTTGCGCCGTCAGCTCCGGGCGCGGCGAAGGCGTCAGCCAAAGCGTTGCCCTCCACCAGCAGGCGAGGCGCCTTGCCTCGCAGCACGTCGGCGGCCTCGAGGTGCGAGTGGACGAAGAGTATCGTGCACTGGAGTCCTGGATGCTGGTCGAGATGAACTCCGATCTGCCACCACAAATCGCTGTCTGGTCCCTCAGGGCTACGATACCGATGATTGCACCATCCGATGATAACACTTTCGTTGTCGGTCGTGTAGATGAGATGCCCACGGCTGCCCCTCAGGGCCAAGTAGAAAGCAAGAAGCTCTCCTCTTGGCACCGTCTGCCGAAGGCCTGGCAGGCCTCCCCACGCACCAAGGAACACCTCCATGTCGTCGGCAAGGTCGTAGAGGCAGGCAAGTCCGCATCCCACACGCCGAAGCCGTGGGTCACGACTCTCGCGCAGCCAGCGCCCCTAAGGCGAGCGAGTCTCCTCACCCGAGCCACCCCGCGCCCCCCGCGCCCTCATCGTGGCCTCTTAGGCCGCCGCGTCGAGGTTTCGCGGTTGCAGAAGGAGCCGAAGTCAGAGTCAGCGTCCGCGAGGCCCCGCGAAAGCAGGGGGGGCCGCCGAGACAACGTCAAATGCGTCCATCTCGAAGCCCGCGGGGACACCAAAGACGACGGCAATGGGAACCACCGCCAGGTCGTCGGTCACGGACTTCACCACAGCGAGAAGCGCCGAGTAGAGCGGGTCGCCGGCATCGGCGACCCAGACCGTTTCCTGGACGTGCTGGACAGGCGTCGAAGCAGAGACAGTCGAGGGCGGACCACCACGAGGAACGCCCGCCAAGAGAGAGGTCCACCGCAATGGGATGCATCGAACGAAGCCCTTGCCCGCGGAGGTCCACACATGATCGCCAGACACACGCTGTTGAAGATCAGCAGGTGGAACTCCAGGTAGAAGTACAGCGGAGCGGCCGCGCCGTCCAGGCCGAAGATGTCATGCGTCTGTGGGATGGGGCCCAGTTCCCTGGAGTCGAAGAACGTCAGCAGCAGGGGCAGGACAGCGACGACGCAGGCAGGCACCGCCGCAAGAGTCGCAGTCGGAGCCGCCTTCGAAGACGGACACGATGAAGTCACAGACGAAAGCCTCGACGAGAGCGAGGATACAGAGCGAAACTCAGGAGGGACATCGTCAGGCCAGACACTGCGAAGCTCCTCCAGCGCCTTATGGGACATGGTAACACGCTGGGCTTCCGCACAGTGCTGAACAACCTTCTTGGAATTCGCATTTTGCGTTGTGCTCGTATCGTTTTCCTCCTCTTGGCACGTGCTCGACCTTCGAAGAGCGATTCGTCATATTCGGCGTGCGTGACGTGATCGTCGAACTTTGCCTGCATTGCCTCCCCACAAGCAGAATTAGAGGCCAGAGCACTCGGGACAACGCTTGCCGATGGGAGAGGTCCATCGACGCTGGATGCCACGAACGAAGCCCTTCCCCGCGGAGAGCCACAATTGATCGTCAGGCACACCGTGTGGAACTCCAGCAGTTGGGACTCCAGGCGGCGGTGCACAAGAAGACTTGAGTCGACCAGGCCGGAGAGGAACAGCAATTTTGGGAAGTGGTCCAACATCCACAAGGAGAATATCGTCCGCAGCAGGAGGTGCGAAGCCCCGAAGAAGCACGGCGGCAGGACCGGTAGTGATAACAGCGCCAAGAGAAGGAATAGCACTACGATGCGGAACACTGTGAGCTGCAGGACGGTCTGCACATACGGCACCATCTTGGAGATCGCCAGTTGCCCATGCTCGAGCCTGGGGGGCCAACTCGGCAGCTCGACCGAACAGGGCATCTACTTCCAGGGCCGCGCGGCCAACCTGAGCCAGCCACCGGGCACGCCGTCGTAGGCTGAATATCGGCATGCTCAGCATGGAGGTGGCCCAGGAGCACCTGCGCGGTCTGTCAACTCAATCAATTGGGAGTTCATGCGTTCGTTGCCGAATGCACAGTGCGGATAGAACCGGCATGCCGAACGAATAGAGATCCTCGGACACACTGGGAAGACCCTGAGGCAGGAGATATCGCGGGCAACGCACTGAGGTCCATAAGTAACAGGTGCAACAGGAGGACCCGCAGAAGAAGGAACGGCAGCACTTCCAGCAGCTAGCGCGCTAGTGGCGCGAGCCACGCCAAAAGTGGAAAGTACGATCTCGGGAGAAACTGGGGAAGCTTCATCGCCCCCGAGGGTGGAGCCGAGCGAATCCACCATTGGACCGCGATGAACCCCGCTCGCACCTCCAGGCAAAACGTCAGCACCGCCTCGCACATCGCGGGCGCCATCAGCATGAGCAGGGGGAGCAACATCAGAGACGGCGTCAGGACCTGTCGTCACCAACAGATCCTGTCGAACAACTTCGATAGGAGTCTCGGCATGCACAACTTGACCAACACGGTCGGCTCAAACAGGCTCACCACCCCATCACGAACGGCACGGGGCCGAGCACCGTCTGCAGTAGGTCGCCGCAGAACACCATGCACTTCGCGCACGCACGGCGGCGTCGCCTTATCTTCCACCATAGAGAGGGCACTTGCAATACGGTCCTCGAATGCGCGCAAGTCAGACTCGAAGCCGAGATCACACACGAACGAATTCAAGGTGACCGGAATGGCGTCCGGCGCCACCTGCAAGCCGCCTGGTCGCCGGGGATCGGGAGGAACGGGTCAATCGGCACACCAGGCGTCAACGATAACGGGGAAGAGGTCGAAGATCTTTGCATCTGCAGATCCGCGAGGAAGAACGCCACATGTGGAAGGTCAGAGTCCGAATGCGCCTCAATCGCGTGGACCACGAGCGGGCTGAGGCAGACGATCAGCGACTGTGCGAGATGCGCAACCGAGTCAATGGAGCGGAGCGCCCCCTGCAGAGACGCACGCTGGGCGGCGACGATGCCAGAAAGCTCGCAGGGCGCCGCCTTATACGTTAAAGAGGAAGTAGCACATCCAAGCAGATCGCGTCACGAGGCGGCGGCAAACCATCGCAGAAACTCAGGAGCGGAACGCGATACTTGGAACGACCGTATTCAGTATTCTGATGCAGAGGACGGCGCCGTTCCTCTGGTGAAAAAGATTCCCCCCCGCAGCGACAGCACCACGACGATGACGACAGCGGAACCCAATGCGCTGTTGGAGGTCCGCATGGGCCTGGAGGCCTTGAATCACGCAGCGGGCGTTAACATGTAGCAGCGGTGAAACCCCGAAATAACGACGACCAGGAGCATAACGCCGAGGATGATGACGCTGCATAGCGCTCCCGCCGAATATCACGTGCAGTTGGGCTGCGTGTGTGGGCCATCTCACAGCATAGGCCCCACCCCGCCAAGACGGGCAGGAGGCGCCACCATCGACATGCAAGGTCGCTGAGGGCGCGTGCGCGGGGTTCCTGCCATGGGCTCTTGAGCCAAAACGGCTACGGATGGCAGAGTAGGAGGAGGAGGAGAGCAAGAGGAGGAGGAGGAGGAGGACCAGCGCATCTGACTGAATGGGTTCTAGTCTGGGCGGCTATGGGCGGCTAGCTGCCGCTGCTGCAGCTGCCGCTTGAAATTCCCAACGAACGCTGCGTCTCTCGAATCTCATGTCAAGAGGAATGGGAGCAGCAAAAACGATGGGGCCATGCATGCCATCCTTGAAATGCCTGCGCGACCTGAAACAGCGTATAGCCGTTATCTTGTTATTAGAGTTGGGCTCTTTGAGGCGCGCTTTCTGGAAACCTCTGGCCATGGATTCGGAGTAGACCCCGCAGCTCCAGCAGGCCATTACACAGCTCTCATTTTCGAGGCGGTCGAAAACATATATAGTATGGCCATTGCGGTTGAGGGAGAGGTGACAGAGGCTCGGGCAGGTGCCTGGGCATCTCTCGTGTTGGCGACGGTCTTGGCTCCCGTTGTTAAAACTCGTGGGCGACACAGCTCGCGCATCCATCGACCTCTTAGCCAGGCCCACTTGTGGTACTGCCCTGGTTCTCTCTGACCACGGGAGGCACTAGCAACGGCCCCGGGGCCCTCAGGGGGAGGGGGGGGGGGGGCGGAGGCGGAACAGGGGCGATTAGGGCAGCACCCACAAGGGGCTTTACAGCGGGCTTGAAAACTGGTCTCCCGCATGCTTTCCCCCTTGGCTTCGGCGCTATGGCGGGCCAGGTGAGCGCGGCTTGTGAGACGAACCGCAGGAAACGCTTGATGAAGGCCTGATCGGCCTGATACGTATCGATTTCGGCTTCCGAGGGGCCCCCGAGCTTCTTCGCGGCCGCTTCGGCGATTCGGTCGGCAGCGTCGTTCCCGAGGGCCAGAAACTTTTCGCGGGAGCCTTCTGGAAGGCTGTCTAAACCCTGGTGCGCTTTTACTTTACAAACTTGGGGGGGGGCACCTCCAGTGTGTTTACCTTTGGCAACTAGCTCCAGCCCAGAGTACATTTTCTTTCTATCAAAGCCTACTTGACTGCACTGTCTAATGGCTCCTAAGTGGTCCGAGTGGACCTGGGTAATGTCAGGGCACATGTGGCTGATGGCAAGGGCAAGATGCTCCGCTGCTCCTGATGTGGGCGGCAGAGCGGCCTCTGTCTGTCCAGACAGGTGTGCCTTGCACTCACCAGCTTCGTCCATCACAACTACCGACCAGCCTGTTTGATGCCAAACGGTGGGGCCTTGCTTATAGCAGGACCCGTCAACAAAAGCCTCGCCAGACATGGCCTCCTTAAGCGGGGCCCCGTTTTTGGACCAGAACTCAAAAGCAAAGCCGACCCCCGAGGGCCTTATAAACACGGGGTCGGGAAGGTATTGAAAACCATGGGCTAGTGGAGCTTCACTGGGGCGCCCTCGAAGATATTCTAGATGGGGGGCCTCTAAGGTGTCACTTCTGATGTCATCGACGAGCTGGCAATTGAAACGGTGCTGCAAGGCATCTGTCGGGTGTCCGCACTCGCGTGCCTGGTCGATCTCATAGCCTGCTGCAGCCAAGCGGGACCTGGTCCAGAGACATTGGGTAAGGTAGGCCAGGAGGCAGCCCCTCTGGGGCTTGGTAAGGTTCGGGTCGTCCAGCACAGCTTTTGCGGCCGAGCAATCCAGACGGTCCTGAGGGTGTCCAATTTTGGTTGCTGCTATAAACTCGAGCTGCGCGTTCCAGGCGTCCTCCAAGTGGTACCTGAGGAGGGCTGGCGGGGTCACGGTGAGCTGGAGGATGAGGCCTTGGCTCGTCTCTATCTCGAACGGCTTGAGGAGCTTCCAACCTATCCTCTTGAGGCTCAGCAGGGCGGCCCCCATGGGCCCTCGGCATGCGCTCCAGCTTTTTGGGTGGTTATCCAAGATTCGGTTCACCTTCTGTTTCAAAGCACCGTGATCATACTTGAACAAGCCAGGTTGGGCCGAGATCCTCCATGCCAAAACTGTAGTATATGATGGGCCCCAAGGAGGCCTTCCAGGAGGGGTCTCCAAGCAGGCGCAGGCTCAGGACACAGGATCTCGTAGGGCTTCTGGGACCAACGGTGCCGAGGTAGAAGTTCTGGCTCTGGGCGAGTTCTGCATCGGTCAGGCCTACCACTTCGCTCCCGTAATGGTTGGCCTGGTCGAGGCCTGTTTTGTGCAAACTTTCGCATGTCGGCCCCGGCCTTTTTGATAGCCTGGAACCTGCGCCTGCGGTGCTTCATCTTCTTGAAACGGAGGCGCAGAACAGCGCGGCCACGGCCGCTGCGGACGCGACCTCCAGCCGTGTAGTCTACACCGAGGTTGGCGGTGGCGTCGACCCGCTCAAAAGCCTGGGGCCCTGCTAGTGAGCCGAGGGCCTTGACCAGGGGCTCACGAACCTTTACGGAGGAGGCTAAGACGGCTGACTTATGGAGGGCAATGTTGCTCTCTAAGTCCTCCTCTATGGTGTCCTTCATACTCTTTGAAGCTCCTGCAAGGGTCTTGGTCAAGGTGTTGGGGCACTTATCTTGGGCCTGTAAGATGATGTCATCGATAAACATGTGGAGGCTAGTCTCTATGTTGTCCTGGACCCAGACATCGAGCGGTACAATGCAATACATCTGTACAACGTAAGTGGCGAAGCTGCAGCCTGCGGGCACTCCATGCTGCGGGCTGCCAACGAAGACTGCTTGCGACCTGTTGGCAACTAGACGGGGTGATCCATACTGGTTGGCGATCAAGACCGCCACAGCTTGATTGAAACCGGCGCCGACCGCTCTGGAAAACCATTTGTCCCGATAGATGCGTTCGTAGTAGTTTGAAAGGTCCCAGAGCACCGCAACAGTGAACCTGGAAACACCTTCATAATGGGCCGAATCCGCCTCGAGGGCCTGCAAGAAAACGGTATCCAAGATTCCTCGTCCTCCTTGATGGGCCAGATAAGGCCTCTTGTTTTGAAGCTCCCATCGTCGAACTACTGGTTGCCTTATCTTGGCCCAGAGTCTCCAGATCGAACTCATCATTCCTATCCCTCGGTAGCTGGGCTTGTCTTTGGAACCCTCCTGCTGCTTATGCTTGGGGGTGAGCATGGCGACGGTCGCGCGCACCTGAGAGGGCAAGGGGCTGACCGCCTCGAGAGCGTGCATGAAGCGGGCCACGAGCGCGAGCTCGCTGTCACCTAAGAGCGCAAAGTGCCTGGGATGGAAGCCGTCGTAGGTGGAGGCCGTGTTATGGCTGAATCGCTTTGCTGCTGCTCTTATCATGTCAACTGTGATGGGTTCCAGCTCGGCTAGGGCTTCAGGGCTAGGTCTGCGATGTTTATGTTTCTGCTCTTGCGGGGTAGTCTCCCAATATCCGAAAGGCGTTCGGCTTCAGCTTTAAGTAAGTCATACGGCCTTCCTGACCACCTTCCGATCGAGGCTTTCCAGACTTGCTGAGACTTCCAACTGCTGAAATCTTTGGCCCATCTATGGCCCCATCCCACTCCGTGCTGCATATTTGTCTTGACCCATCCAGCCCAGTTTTTCTCGTCGGTCGATCGGTCGCGCTGCATTTCTCGCTCTAAGGCTTTATCGGTGTCGACGAAGAGCTTATCGAACAGTTCCTTCGCTATTGCGGTATTTAGAGCGTCGCTACGAGTGTCGACTAGGGCCGGTTGTAGGGCAGCTTGAACTGTTTGAAGAAGGGCCCCTAACTCATCAACTTCACCAAATAAAGCCGGGGCCGAACCTAGGTCCTCCAAGACAACTTGAAAATCAGATTCTAGATCGCATGCTTGGTCGAAGGCACGCCGTGCGTCAGCAATCCTATTCTTCAGCCAGCGGACGGGGTCCTGCAAGAGAGCGCCAGCTGCGACGACAGCGCGTTCCGCTGCGCATGCGGGAACCCATCGGAGCTGAGGTCCTTGACCTCGTAGGCGCTGGCTGCGAAGAGGCGTGTCAGTGACCTTGCTCAAAAAAACGAATTAAATCGCTGGCCAGGATCTCGTAGGTCTGGTCCATGGCCCCGTCCAAGGCCTCGTAGTCTGACTTCTGTCCCAAGAAGGCTTCCATTTGGTCCAGGGCCGCTTCGGTTCGGGTCCAGGGAGTTGTTTGCGCTATGGGTCCCACGGGCAACTTCGCTGGGATCTTCTGAGGCTTTACCAGGGCGGGCACCAGGAAGGGCTCATCTATGGCGGGGTCGAAGTACACGGGCCTGCGGGGGCTCAGGGGGTACTCCTCTAGGACCTCGGGCTTACTCACGTAGTCCTGGAAACAATCGGAGACGAGGAAGAAATCTATCAGGCTCTTGGTCTTTTTAGTGTAGAGCGTGGGGATGTCTGAAGAGAGGGCCTGCACTCCTGCTCTCGGGCAGGAGTTGCTCTTGGTGGGCTTGGCAGGCGAGAGGTTAAAGCCAGCCGCAACTACCGGGCCCGTGCGATGCATCTGGCCGAGCTGCGCGAGGCTGGCGAGGAGGTTGAGGTTAGACTCGTTCAGCCCAACCTTGTCGGCAAGGTAGGCTGAGGCTAGAATGAATGGAGCGTGTCCTGGCACCTCCAGAGCTACAGCGGTAACTCTTCCTTTGGCGTATTGGCAGGATAGTCGACTTTTGTGACCCCGAATTCGTACCCGTCTCTCACGAGGGTGGCTGTGCCCTGCGCTACTGCCCCACAATCGCTCATAACCCCAGCCGTGAAACTTGCATTCCATCCACGCTTGCTGCACCACTGAGTAGCATCCGAAACTTGATTTTCAAGAAGCCTGGCCTCCTGAACACACAAAACGTGGATGGACTTGGCGTCTTCGGACTCGACGAAAGTCTTGACGCTTCCCCAACAGCTTCCATTGAAACTCATGATGCGGAGGTTACCCCCCAGACTTACGGGCGCCCCCCGAGCCCTCAATTCTGGAGCGGAGCCTCCTCTGGGCATCCTCAGCTGATGGTCCCGGAGCCCCAGGAGTCCCGATCTGCGAGACCGCCAAGAGGGCCTGAACAGCCCGTTTGGAGGCCCCTTCCTCCTTCTCCTTCGCGTCGGAGGGCTCCATCTCGTCAGCGGCGGAGCCTGCAGGACGGCCCTCTCCACTGGGAGCTGCGACTGCGGCTGCACCTTCAGGGGCTGGTGGGTGTCCAGCTGCTGGTTCAGCTGCTGGTGCTGGTGGTACTTGTCCTTCCCGCGGTTGCTCGTCAGCTGATTGTACTCGGCGTCGAGCTCCGTAGCCATGGCGTTGACCTTCTGCTTGAAGTCGGGGCTGATCTCCGCGCCAGGCGGGAGCTTCGCCTTGATGTAGTCCTCGAGCGTGTCTGGTGATGCCCCATGTGCTGCACCATCTGCACCGACAGCCTGTTCGGCCGCTGCCTTCGCTGCGACCTTGAGCTGGCTCTCGAGCTGCTGGCATTCCTTGTAGATATCATTGCACTCATTCCCGGCCGTCTGGTACTTCCCGGTGAGCTTCTCAATCTCCTCAAGGTACCAGGCCACGTCCTTCTGCTTGCCCTCCAGGCGCTTGCGCTGCACTGAGAGCTGGTCCGACAAGCTCTGCGTCTGCTGGTCGGGCGACTTGTTTGCCAAGGCGGCGGCCTTGGCTGCTTTAAGTTCTTCTGATGCTTGAAGGTAATGTTGTCCTCCAACTCCTTCCATCTTGCGCCAGAAGCTGACGGCGGCCACACAGACCTGGATGGGGTCGGTGGTGTCACACTCTGGCTACTGGACTGATGCATCATCATCGAACTGGACTCGGCGAGACCACCGGTTGCCGCGCGAGCTTGAGCGGGGCGGCTTGGGGGGCTGGGCGGTCTGCTTGTTCGTACTGTTTGCCGACTCCGTGAAGGGCTTCCCGCATTTACCACAATGACGGTGTCCCAAATCCGTCCAGGGTCATCCCCCACATGATGGCGTTGAACAGACCATGTAGCACCTCGGAGTCTTGGCCGAACCTCTCGGGCGCGAGGGGCGACGCGCTGAGTCGCCTGGCGCCATGGCTGCGCCGCACACAGCTGAACAGCGGCCAGCAGCAGGAGCTGGACGCCTCGGCGATGGCGGCAGCGGCCGAGGAGGCAGAGGGGGCGCGGCTGCGGGGCGCCCGTGCTGGCCGAGGCAGCCAGGCCTAGGGAAGGGGCTGCCCTTCCACCTCGGCCTCGAGCCTCTGGAGTCGGGACCCACGGGAGGTAAGCTCCGTGAGACTTGAGCCAAAATGGCTACGGGAGAAGAGGAGGAGGAGGAGGAGGAGGAGGAGGAGGAGGAGGAGGAGGAGGAGGAGGCACGGTGCGACTGAGACCTCCAGGCGCCAACTTCAGAACTGTCCGCACCTGCAGTGCACGACTCTTGGCCGAGGAGGATGGGAGGACTCGGGGACGCGCCGGCCGAGGCGCGAGGCGAGCCCCACGGAGAGGGGAGGACACGTGCCGCCGCGCCGTTTGCGCTCGACGCGTCCAGACGGGACGACGCCGACACCACGGCAAGCCCATGGCGAGCCCACGGCAAGTCCTGCGCCCGAGGCGGCGCCTGCTCTGGTGGCCGAGGCGCCCTCCCCAAGGCGAAAGGCCGAGCGTCGGGGCAGTCGGCGCGGCGACGCAGACACACACAAGGCGTAGGATCCGCTTTGAAGCGAAGGGTGGCGATACAACGAGATACGCTGCGACGGCACCACCACGAACGCTCGCCCGACACGAACGAAAGGCAGAAGGCGATGGTCATGCTGCTGTCGTCGCCGCTGCCACCGCTGCCGCAACGGCTGTTATGGGTGCTTGTGCTGCTCCGTGTCCTCTCGCCTCCTCATTCCCACCACATCCCAAGTCATCCGACGAGACGGCTATTTCGAGACCCGGAATTCTCCACCCTGGAGGTCACTCTGCAACCACGAAGCATTATTTGAAATTGTTGGGGCGTGGAGACGGCCACTCCACGCGAAATGGACCCAACTTCCTCGAGCCGCCATGAGGTATGTATCCTCAGACCCCCGACGTCGTGATTTGTTCACAGCGTCGACCCTAACAGGTCTGCACCTCTTCCCCCGGACCGGTTTTTCATCCTGAATCGTTTTTTGGGCGGCTCCAGGGCCCGGCAAGGGCCCCCCAGAGGCCGAACATAGCGAAAAACCTCCCGTTGGTTTTTTATGTGTGTCACAAAGCGGGGAGGTCTGGTCTGGGTCCTCCTCCTCCTGCTCCTGCTCCTGCTCCTCCTCCTCCTCCTCCTCCTCCTCCTCCTCCTCCTCCTCCTCCTCCTCCTCCCCCCAATCCAGCAGAAACGAGCTCGAGGAGAGACGCAGGGGGCCGGCTCGCCTAGCAACTTCCGCCGCGGCAGGCACGAAGATCTTCACAACCCTCTGCGGCATGTCGACGTAGGTGTACTCCTGGAAGGTGACGTCGACGAACGGCCTCGCGCAAGGAGGCTTCTCCTCCTCCTCCTCCTCCTCCCCGCCCTCCTCCTCTCCCTCCCCCTCCCCCCTCATCCTTTTCCTCCTGCTCCTCCTCCTCCTCCTCCTCCTTCTCTTCCTCCTCCTCCGCCTCCTCCTGGGTGCGAGCTGCGGCGGGCGCGGAGCGGACTTTGCACTCCCCTGGGCTGCCCAGATACCTGCGGCGGGGGGGCGAGTTCGATGCTCGTTGTGGGGACCTTCCTGCGTCAAAGCTGCGAACGAACGCTCAGCTCATGCGTCAAAGCTGCGTCGAACGTCCGTCGACCTGAGTCGGAGTTGAGGCGAAGTTGGCCCGAGCTGTGGTCGAACTAGAACCGAACAGGTCTTTTAGGAGGGCCCCAAGAAGTCCCCCAGAGCGAACATCGAATGGATGTGCGGGACCCCGCCCAGGAACGGCTCCGAGAGCAACGCGCCAAGAACTTGGCAGGCCGAGCCCCAGCACCCAGACGCCGTGGTGCTGCTCTGGACGTGGGCCCCAAGACGTCGCGACCCCTTCTCCACGACCGGCTCCCCGTCCTGACTCGTTAGAGCTAAGGAGCCGAAGGGTCATTCCATGTCCCTGGGAGCGTGGCTGAAGTGAGGTTCCGCGGGAGCTGTTGTTGCATTCTCCTTCTTTTAACAATCTCTATTGTTGATCCCCCCTCTCCGGTAACCTGCATTTGTCATGTACATTGCTGTTCCCAATGCTCGCATTTTGTTTTTAGCAGAAGTAGGTGAGGTGTCACCGACATGTGCCCCGTGCCACTGGTTGACAACAAGAGCGGCTCGCGCATAATACTTCCTCGCAAAGTGTTTCAAAATCGAGGTCTCGCGCGGGACTTCCTCACAAGTTATATAGGCATCGCGCCCGTGCGTGGGACTCCCTCGTAACTGATTCAGACGCCGCGTCCTCGACGCTCAGGAATTACGCGTTCACTTTGGATTTCTTATGATTTATTTGGGAATCACGCTATCGCCCGAGACTTCCTCGCGATTCATGCAGGACGCACGCTTCAGCAACCCGACTGCTGGACCTGGACGGCTGGGCCCGCCTTCCCGAGCCGCCAATCTAGGGTCTTCCCGCCGGATCTGCCCGCCTGGTTCTGCCACGTGCTTTCTGTTCCTAGCCCCCCTCCTTCTACTCTCCCTCTCGTGCTCCCTCCTCCTCCATAGTCCTTGTCCCTTCCTTCCATCCGTCCTCTCTTCCACTACTTTAGGGACTGCACGAAACACACGTTGCAGGTAAGAGAGGTACACCCCTAACGGGGGGTACGATCGAAGACGTACAATGCGGGTATCGAGGGTTTGGTGTAATGCGTCGGATGGCACGCGAGCAGATCAGAGCGAGCAGTCTTGAAATGAGTGTTGTTATTGGTGTTGTTGTTGCTGTTGATGTTGGTGTTGCTGCTGTTGGTGATGCTGTCGTTGCTATTAAATCTGCACTCCTTAAAAATAAATAATATTAGTCACCCCTCGTGTAACCATTGTATACTTCATGTGTATCGTTCTACCCCAAGCTCAAGCCCTGTTCCTTTAAAAGGGGGGTAGAATAATGGGTCACCAAAATGTGCCCTTGGCCCCCAGTTTAAAACAACAGCGGTTCCCGCTTGGCGCTTCCGCACTAAGTATTCCAAAAACGCGCTCTGGCGCGGAACTCCCTAACAATTGATGCAGGAATCGTGCTCTCGCGTGGGAACTCCTCGAAACTTCCTCGAGACTTCCTCGTGATCCATGCACGACGAATGCCTCGCAAGCCGCCTGATCGACCTGGCCGGCTGGGCCCACCTTCCGGACCCGCCAGTTAGGGTCTTCCCGCCCGATCAGCCCATCTGGTTCTTCCACGTGCTTTCTGTTCCTAGCCCTCCTTCTGCTACTCCCTCTCGTGCTCCATCCTCCTCCCTCGCCCTTGTCCCTTCATTCCATCCGTCTTCTCTTCCCCTACATTAGGGACAGCCCAGAATAAATCTTGAAGCTTTGGGTACATGCGCAGGAATCGTCACCACCTGCCCAAAAAACTTACTTCTGGAACGCTCTCGGCGAGGCGCAGCTGCTGGAACGCAACCCGAGGCTGCAAAAACAGCCGAGAAAAGTCGAAAAGCCCGATGCCTTGGCGATTTGGGATTGTGCGCCCTCACTCCTCCTCTCGCCTTTTTGTGACGTTGGTCGGACTTTAGCTACGTGGCTGAGCATGCGGCCGACGAAGGCATAACGACGGATAAGCTAAGCAGGCGGCGCGTGCAGAATAGGACGTCCAAGCAGAGAAATAAGTAGGGTAGCCAATCAGGTGAACCCCACACCCGAAACAATGATCCCATGGGGATCATCGAGTTCGGGGACCTGGGAGGACGATAAACTTCCCCGGAGATATCGATGTTGGGATGTCTGGATCGGTGTAATGGCACTTTGGTCCCTCTTGGGGGGGGTCCCTTCAGATGTGCCGAACTCTGCCAGGGGGATTATGAAGCTCGGTCTCCCCACCTCCCCGCCGCTTGCGCCATAATTACACAGGCCGCAGAGAATTAACGTAGACGACCCCAGGGTGGGGAGACCAAAAGGTACTCCAGATCCTTCAAGAAGCACCCCCCGTACCATCCTGTCCAACGCCCCTTGCCCGCCTCCCCCACGCGCCCCAAACCCACCCCCTCTCGCCCCACGCCCCCCGAAGAACAGCAGTTTCCTACCCCCCACGCGATCCCCCACCACGCTTATTGAGAGACCTGGAGTACCGGTGCCGCAACTCCCCGGACCTCGCCCGGAGCGCGTTCGGACCAGGATCTCGAGGCGAATCCAACCGTGGCGGCGAGGGCCTCCCAGGAGGCCCAAGCGGGGAAAGCGAGGCAAAGGGTAGCGGTATAGGTACCTCCTCCTCCGCTGACAGGAGTGGGGGGGGGGACGCATTATGATCACGGGAGCGCGGCTATCCCTGATTTCTGACGCTGCGAGAAAATTACAATTTCGTCAGAACTCACGCCCATAGCCCCAGACCCGCCCTTTCCGCGTCATGGTGCGAGCCGGATCGATATATGAGGGCACGGGGACCGAATCAAACGCGAAAACGCCCGTCGTGAAAAAATTGGAACGCCAGGATCTCAGGGACAGGAGAGCCCAGAATCGAATCGACAGGTCGAATCGGCGATCGACATGAGTCGGATCGGCGGAAATCGGCAGCCGAGTCGGGTAAAGTCGAATCCGCGGACATCGGCAGGCCTGTGCGCGCCCAGTGACAAATCGGAATTCAAATCGGAACCCGAAGCCGGACAGAACCGGAGTCGGAAGCCACCGCAGCCGCATCGAATCGAGCCGGAGGCATCGAAACAAGCCCTGCAGGGACTTGTGTTGCTCCCATCGTACTGAAGGACCACATCCCAGAAATAATTTCGAGCACCGAGAGAAGTGTCGAAAGAGTGTCGAAGCAGTGTCGAGAGAGTGTCGAAAGAGTGCCTCCCAGGGCCCGACACGTGAAAGCCCTCGGTTCTTGGGGTGTGTTCCTGGTGCTCGAACTTCACTATTGTAATCAAGGCTACAATACAAGGCAGTTTTAAATACATAGGATGTTATACCAAAAACATGGTTTTTAACATGATTAGTCTAGGAATCGATGTATGCATGAGTTCATCATTGTTTTCACTACGAAACCCCCGCATTTTCAATACATGGTCCGCACGCGGAGCATGTATTAAAAACGGCACTGTGGGTTTATGTCGGGCGTGTCCCCCTACAGGGGGATTTTCGACGAAACAATAATTAAAAACAACCCAACAAATAATTTAAACAACTAGAAATAATCCAAGGACTATTTGTTGAGTATGTTTCTACCTTTTTGGAATTTATTTGGGGTAGTTTGCATTTTTCGTCGAAGATCCTTTGTATGGGGGTCACGCCCGAGTTAACTGTAGGCTGGAACATCGCGCGCAGGGACGGAAACGCGGTGCGCCCCGCGCCCCCTGCGCCCCCCCCCGTCTCTGCCGCGCTGCCTCGCGGTCGGCTCCGCCGCCGCGACGGAGGGGCCCTCGTCGCCCTGGTGGCCGCCGGGGCGGGCGCGCGCGGGCGGCCGGGGCCGGGCCCGCGCGCGCCGTCGCGCAGCCTCCTCCGCCTCGGCCTCCTCCTCCTCCTCCGCCTCCTCCTCCTCCTCTTCCTCCTCCTCCTCCTCCTCCTCCTCCTCCTCCTCCTCCTCCTCGGGGCGGGGGCCGCGGTGCCCACGACGCGGCTTCTGGGCGCGGAGAGCTGGGGGAGCGATGACAAAAAAGAGCCCAGGGACACACGCACACAAAGAACTACGCACGCATCCCAGGATTTGATCTTGCCCCCCCCTTCACACTTCCCATTTTTTCTCGCATGTTCCTGGGAGTCGTCGGTCACATATGTCTGTGTGCTTTTTCCCCTCCTGAGAAAAATGGAGGAAGGCGCCCTGTTTTTTTTTCCGCGCTTCCCGCGGGTCCGTTGGAGAGGCTGCTGCGTTCAGGGTGCTCTGGGTCCCCGCCCGTGTGCACCTCGCGCGCGGGGTTTCGGGGCTGGGTTTCTGGCGATGGGTTTCTTGCGGCCGCGTCCGCACCGCATCCGTGGAGGAGGGGAGGAAGGGTGCTGCACGGGTGCTGGGGCTGCGGAGGAAGCAGCAGCAGCAAGGGGAGGAGGAGGATGAGGAGGAGGAGGAGGAAAAGGAGGAGGAGGAGGAGGAAGAGGTAGATAGATAGAGCGGCATTGGGGGGGCAAGGCAGTGCATTCGTCCGCAAGGATGGGCCCCCGCCGTCGCCGCTCAGAGCGGCACCTTCATTGTGATCACAGCGCCACGCACGCCGATCACCTTGCCGAACGAGGCGTGGTCGTGTCGGCCATCCATATTCTCGAACTCGTAGTCATAGCCCTGCCCACCACGTAGCCAGCTCGTCCTCTATGACTCCCGCTGGTGGTATACCCTTCTTCACCGTAGCTCCCCCATGAAGCAGCGCTCTGTGGGTGCTGTCCGTGGAGTTGCTCTGCTGCTTCTGCTCCTCTTGGGGATCCGCCTCGGCCACTACGGCGGCCGAGGGCCCCTGCACGATATACAGTGTGATCTTCGCCTGGTTGCAGTCGTGGCACTTGCTGATCTTCAGGTGCACGTTGTAGAGGTCTGTCGCCACACTGAACTGGTCCTCGAACTTCCCGTGCTCTGTGAGGATGCTCTTGGTCTTGGCGCCCACGTCCTCGGAGCAGTGGGTCGAAATGAGCGAATGTCCCTTGCCCGCCTCCGTACACTTGTCCGTGTAGATCTTCCTGCAGGCTCGGGGCGCCTGGATCACCTTGGTCTGAGTCGGCGTCGGATACGAGCTGTAGACCGCGGACACGACCCAGGCGATCTGCTGAGTGTTGGCCATACCTTGCTTGATCATCACCGTGAGCGGCTTCTTCAGCTTGTGGTCGCACTTGGTCTGGTAGGCTGTGCCTCCTTGTTGTTGGCGTCGTGTGGAGACTTGGCGCCGCAGCTGAGGCCAGCAGCCGTGAGCATGAGGTGGATGTGGCCTCGGCTTGGACATGCACTGAAGCTGTCTGTAGGAGCAGCGCCAGTAGGGAAGCGGCATGTGGAGTATGCGCAAGCCGCGGACCTTAGGCTTGCCGTTCTTGTCGAGGGTGCAGCTCTGGCTGTGGTGGGCATTGAGAGGGACGAAGCCGACGCGGTACGCGAGGTAGGGGACTGACTCGAAGCTCTCCTGCGCGAGGGGTGCCTCAGCGAGCTCGTCATCGTAGCTCACGCCTGTCATCTTCGGCTTCTGCTTGGTGCAGTAGGTGGGCAGTAAGGTCATCTGGATGATCTCGGGCAGTGGCCAGTCTGGTGCTGAGGCGCGCTTCTTGAAGTACTTGAGCCGCTTAATGACGCCTGCGAGTGCTCGCAGGTGTTGTCTTCGTGTTTCGTGCTGGCGCTTCTGCTTCTCGATGGAAGGTGTGATGAGGACCTCGATCTGGTACTCGATCTAGTAGTTGGGGGCGGTCCCGATGTACTCCTCTCTGAGCTTGGGGCGCGCCTGGAGTAGCCGCTGACGTTCCTTCATGAGCTGGTAGTATTGGTCGAGTTTGGGCTTCTGGCGCTCGAAGAAGGGCTTGGCCGCCTCCTTCATGATGTTCACGATGAGCTCCCCGCATTCGTCCGCTGTGCGGTCCCCGACCAACTTCTGCTGCTTGTCCTGGTGCTTGCCGAGGTAGTACTCCTGCGCGCCATTGAACTCCTTGCGGTACTTGCCCTTCTGCAGGGCCAGGGCCGTCTTGTCGTAGTCCCAGGCGGTCATCTTTAGATCTATGAACACGTTCGGGATGATGACGTTGGCGGCTGCATGCAGTAGGACAGGGTCGCGCGGCACGTTGTCATTGATGAGTTGAGGTGCCTTGGCCGTTCGCCGCCTGATTCTGTAAGAAGTAGTGCGGGAGCATAGACCGTGGGGCAATGCAATGTAGTCGGGGCGAGTGGCCTGTCCATGGGCGCCGGTGTACATGGGCCTCGCGTGCCAGAAAATGTTCAGGATGCACCTGCCGTGCACGTCGAGCACGAAGTGGAAGGCGGCGGTTGCCTCTCCAGATACTCCTATGGGGCCAGAATCGCCGCTCGCGTGGCTGGGCGAGGCGGGAAGCAATCCTTCCTGGCCGTAGTGGTCGTTCAGGTCGAGGCCAATGATCGGCGTGCTCCTGGTGGGCGTCGCGTTCTTGGTCTTGTAGATCCGCTTGAGCTTCTCGTTGATCGTCTTGATCCGAGCGTAGTGGTTCTTGGCGAGCCCTGACCGTGGATGAAGAGCCGCAACGATGAGATTCGTGTCTAGTCCTCCTCTACGAAGGCTGGCTCCTGCGCGTCCTTGAATGCTCGGCGGCGGGCGGGGGAGCGCGGTCACACACTTGATGCGGTAGCGGTTGCTGAACGTGTTGGCCACGCCCGCGTGATTGTTGGTGAAGGATCCACTGCCGTAGCCCCTCGAGACGATGCGGTGCTGGTAGGTCTGGAGTTGGTCGACGGGGCTGGAGGCGTGCTGCCTGGAACGAGCGGCTGGTAACGCGATGACGTCGCCTGCGCTGAACTGTCTCGACCACTCCGAGCTTCTCAATGGCTCGCCCGTGATGAGCGGGTTGTACACACCCCACCCCGGCTCGGGAATGTCATCCAGAAGATCGCGAGAGAAGAAACATGGATGGCCAGCCGCGCTGGCATGACATGAAGGGTGCCCTGGGGGCGGAAGCTGCTCTGCGTGGGGTGCCTGCTGGGCCGCGAAGAATGGGGCTAGAGCAGGAGACGGCGGCTGAGGAGGAAGAGGAGGAGGAGGAGGAGGGTCCAGAGAGCGAGAGGCCTTCGGGCGCGCGGGCAGCGCCTCCGCCAGCGGACTGCCGAGCATGGAGGAGTGTGGCTATCCGGTCAGCCGGGCGTGTGCCTCTAAAGGGGGGAAATTCAAAAATGGTCCAAAAATGATCAGGGGACGATTTTTGTTTGACAATGTTTGAGAATTTGGGGGGTATTGTTTTCGTATTTTGCATTTTTCCCCCAAGATCGGCCTGTAGTGGGGACACGCCCGACTTAAGGCTATCTGGTCAGCTGGGCTGGGGTCGCAGCAGTGTGGGCCAGCACGTTGGCGGAGCAGCGTGGCGTCTCGCAGAAGGTGTCCAGCGGCGCTCACACTCGTGAGCACGGAGATTCGCAAAATGAATCCCTCCTCCCTTCTTCCTCCCTTCCATCACTCTCCGTCCTCTCTCCCTCCCTTCACCCCCTTCCATCGCTCATCCTCCCCTCCCACCTCCGTTCTTCACTCCCTCGTCCCTCTTCCCATTTCTCGTCAGCTCATTCCTTCTGTCCCCTCCCCAATGTTGATCCCCAGACAGTGATCGCACTGTTGGCCTCTTACTTGCTTCGTAGAGTTCCCCTCTGGCGTCTTTCTGATAGAAAAATGAACGGGTCCACCATGAATCGCATGAACGCTAATCTAGTTTGTCTGCTTTTGTTGTGTCACGGGTGGCGCACGCTTCGCATATACAGATCAGGAGATGTATAGATGCACGCGTGTGTATATATATATATATACACGCACATACACATCAACACGTGTGCATACACGGCCATTGCACACGGCACTGCTTCGGACGGTGTCTTGGCCCTGGTTCGTTGAAAGTTTCATCAGATCACAGCTGGTTGGACAGCCCGATCGGTTTTCGTGAGCTCACCTTTGCCTGCGTGCGCTCGACCTCTGAATGCGAAGCGCGCTGGTGGTTCTAGTTCACGAAGTCGGACTTTCTCTTCTTAAGTAGCGCCGGTTGGAGGGAGCAGCACCACAGGGGCTGGGCCGGCGCCGACGGGTGCCCATGGTGGAGACTGCCCGGCCACGCCTCCAGCGACGTCGCGCCACCCAGCCTTGTCCTATTCCCCCTCTTCCTCTTGCTCTTCCTCATTGCCCCCTCCCCTTCGATGCCTCCGATGCGGCGAGGGGGGAAGGCCAGCGGCCAACCCCCCTCGAATCAGAAGTGAAACGCCGAGCTACAATTAAGCCGGGCATGTCCCTCGAGAGGAGGAATATTCAAAAATATTTGAAAATAGCCTGGGGGCGCTTTTTCTAGTATGTTCGACTAGTTTGAATATTGTTTCATCATGTTTCGCTGTTATTCCAAACTCCGCCTGTAGGAGGACATGCGCGACCTAAAGCTACAAGCTGCAGGAGCCCTCCGCCGCTGCTGACCTCCCTCTGCCCCAGGGCGCGCCTGCACGTCGCTCAGAGTTGGCGGCGCGCGGAGGGGGGGGGAGGGGGGGACAGGGGGGGGGAAGGCCTCTTTGAAGCACCACTGCTCCTTGGAAGGCGCGGGCTTGATCTGTAGATGTAAGGCCCGCGGCTTCTCAGAGGCAGCCTCCTTCCAAGAAGTCCTTTCCCCCCGCCACTCGGGCGGGAAGGCCCTTGCCACTCGGGCGTAGAAGGCCCTTGCCTGCGGGGCCCGTTGCCTCCCCCCTCCTTCTTCTCGTCGTCGTCTTCGTCACCCTTGAAGGGGTCGCGCTTGCAGATGCGCCCCCCCAAAACCCGATTGCGCTGCTGTCACGGCTGGTGCCCTGGCGACCGTCAATGATACCAGTGGAAGGAGGAGGAGGAGGAGGAGGAGGAGGAGGAGGCGGAGGCGGAGGAGGAGGAGGAGGAGGAGGAGAACGAGAGGGAGGAGGAGGAGGAGGAGGAGGAGGAGGAGGAGGAGGAGGAGGTGGAGGAGGAGGAGGAGGAGGAAGAGGAGGAGGAGAAGGACGAAAAAGAAGAGGAGGGACGAGGAGACCTTGCTGCGGCTTCAGGCGGCCAGCTGCTCGCGCCCCTCGGGCGGAGAGAGGCCCGAAAGCGGCGAGCGGGGGCGCCCCGAGAAGCCCCGAGGCGCCCGGGAGGCCTCGGGAGGCCTCGATCCCCACACCTGCACCGCGAGGCGGCGAAGCGGCGCCACAAGCAGAAGCTGTAGAGGTCAGTGCGGATTTCTCTGGTTGGGGCCGGGTCCCCCTCCCCCCCGGTGCGCAGCGCGCGCCAGGCGCGGCGCCGTCGGCGCCACCAGGCGCCAAGGGGGGAGGGGGAGGCACCCTCTGACCCAGGAAATTCGCGCGGGCCGGCCTCCGAAAGCTTCTGTTTGCAGCGCTCTGTCGACAGCGGCTCCTACTCGTGATCTCTCCATCCCCTCGATCCTCGAGCCTCGTTCCTACGGCGTTCCTCGTTCCTCGATCCCCGATCGACGATGCGGGCAGTCCCAAGGGAGGGGGGGGGGCACCACTGGGGGGCGTCGCCGCGCCCTCCAGGAGGAGGGCCCATCGGGCCCCCCTGCGCCACCCCAAAAAATACAAGGTCCAAGGTCCCCCCAGACGCATGACGTCGTGCAACGGCCTCCTGGCTCATCGATCCTCGGGAACACATGGTGAGCCTCCACTGGTAAGGCGTAAGTCGGGCATGCCCCACGACAGGAAGAATATTCCAGAATAGTTCAAACATAATAAGGGGACGATGTTTCTGCTCTTTTTCCACCATTTCTGATCATGCTTTGACTTTCTTCCAGGATCCGCCTGTAGGAGGACCTGCCCGACCTAAGGCAAGGCTTCGGGTTGCGCGCAGACCCCCCCCCTGCAGGTGGTCCCAGTTGGCCTCATCGGGCCGGGCGGAAGGGGGGGATAGCAAAAGGGGGGTTTGAGAATCACCTCACGAAGCTGATTTTCCCGGCGCGCCGGAGGCCATGTATCGAGGAATGGGCCCGGCGGCGGGGCCGGAACCAGCTGCAGGCCGGAGATGTCGTAACCCCCGCCTGTCCTTTTCCCCCCCTTCCCCTTTCGCCCGGCCCGACCTCAGCAGGCCCCCCCCCAGGGTGGCCCAGGGCTGTCTCGTCGCCCCGACCCCGGGGCGCCCGCTGCTGAGGCCGCCCTGGGCTCCGCCGGGGGGCCTGCGGAGGTCCGCTCGGCCTGCTCGGGGGCCTGTCGAGGCCCGCCGCCTGGCTGCCTGCGAGGGGCGTCTGCGCGCAAGCCCGAAGCCTCGCCAAGCCCCCGGGTGCCCCCCCCCCCCAGTTCGGCGGCGAGCGCGGGGGGCAGTGGGCAGGAGAAGGCCCGCTCAGAGGGCGGAGGGCCTCCTCAGAGGCCCTCGCGCCTCCCGAGAAGCGCTCTGCGTCTGCGGGGGAGGCCCGGAACACCCCTCGGGAGACCGGGGGGGGCTTCCGGAACCTACTGCGAAGGCCCGCCCCTCCTCGCTTCCCCCCAGTCTCGCCGCCGATACCCGCGGGGGGGGGCGTCTGTGCGCAACCCCCTGGTGGGCATCAACCTCTCCGAGGTCCAGGGAGGAGCGTTCATCGACAAGGTGAGCCAGGAGAAGGGGATGATGAAGATGAGGATCCTTTTCTTTTGGGTCAAGCTGCTGGTCGAGATCCACGTGTTTTTCTGTGTTTTTCCATGATGATCTGGGACGTGGGGCTGTTGAACGAATCTCGCTTCCCCCAAGTCGGGTGTTGCTAGAAGCACCCCTGGCCCAAGGTGCCCCCCAGCTTTCCGCTCCACTCTGGAGCCCCATGGGGCCACCCTGGGAGGTCGTTTGGGCCACCCCGAGAATCCTGGGGGTACCTTGGGCCGGGGGCAACACCCGACCAAGGCCCGCTGCCGATACCTGCGGAGGGGGGGCGCCTGTGCGCAACCGCAGCCTTGCCAAGTCCCACGGCGGCCCGCCCCCCCCCGAGCAGGAGAGCCCAGCGTCGCATCGACGAATCGAAGCGGCGATCGAAGTGCGCCGGCTCGGCGGAGCTCTGCAGCCGAGCCAGGCAGAGTCGGATCGGCAGGCTCGGCGAGGAGGCCTCCGCGGAGAAGAGTCGCATCGGATCGGGATCCGAGGCCATCGGAGTCGAGTCAGACCGGACCGGAGGAGCCGAGACGAGCCCCGCCTCGGGGGGCCCCCCTCCCCCCGATAGTGGCACTGCCAGCGCGGCGCGGGGGGCCTCCCCGCGCCTGCCGTAGCCGGTGAGGCTGCAGGCCGGGGAGAACGCGACCAGGAGGGCCGCCGCAAGGGCTGCGCCTCCCCGGGCCACGACGACGACGACGGCGACGGCGACGGCCACGACGACGACGACCACGACCACGACCACGACGACGACGACGACGACCACGACGACGACGACGACGGCCACGACGACGACGGCCACGACGACGATGAAGACCACGACGACGCCGACGCCGACGCTGACGGCGGCGACGGCGACGACGGCGGCGGCGGTGACGACGACCTTTCGATGTTTTCATGGGTTGTCCTGCGTTCTTGGAACACCTCCAGCCTTGGGGTGCTCTCCTGCAGCTGCGCCTCGCAAATAGCACTCGAGGGGTGCCTGGACCGCCCCGAACTGCCGCTGGAGGCACGAGCTATGACCCGAAAGGCGGCGACGACGAGGGCTGCCCAGACCTGTCGTGAGCAAACCAGCATGGGCTTCGCTTCGCCGTTCTCGGCACGTGGGGGCCCCTTCTCGGGCACCCGGCACTCCGAAGACGGCTCAGGACGACACGTCGGCCCCCGGGGAAGCCGTGGAGAGGTCCGAGGGCCCCGCGCGGCACAGGAGAGCACGCCGGACCTCTGGGTGACGGGAAGGGCCGCGACGGCGGTGGCTGCGAGGGCATCTTGAGTCTCAGTCGGCGGCCCGCGAGCCCACCTCGAGCTCTCCGCTCTCCCCCCCCCCTCCTCCTCATCCATAGGAACAGATGACAACGACACCACCACCAGCGCGAGGACCCACAGGGGGGATCCTCCTGGTGGTGGTGTAACCCCGCGCAGCTCCTTGGTGGCGCCAGGGGGCCAAACCTCATCGCGCAGGCCGCTGCTATCGCATCGCATTCGGCCAACGGCGAAACGGTCACTCTTACACTCGGACCTGGGCCAGAAAAAACATCCTTCAAGAACCTGAGATCCTCCGTCGGCCAAAACAAACAGAACATCACCACCAGGCGCGCAGGCGGCAGCTATAGCATCGCATTCAGCGATCGGGAGGCCCTAGTGGGCCCGCACCAGTGAGCATCGTTTATCCGATCCCTATCCCCAGCGGCGTGGCCAGGGCCCCACTGGCCGATTTACCCCCCTAGATGGGGATATAGGCCATTCCCTTCGGGTTTTTCAGGGGTGTATCCCCAGCTGGGGCGGTATTTGGTGGGGGTCTCGAAGGGGATGAGGATGGGATGGGGGTCGGCTAAACGATACTGAACCGAAGGTCACTCCGGCGAAAGGTTAATCTCACGTGCAGTCGAAGCTGTGCGCCACCCGACCTTCCCGGGGGCCCATCCTGGGCCCTGTGCAGGAGCCCCCGGCCCCTCCCGCGGCAGAAGCCCGAGACCGCGGCAGGCGGGCACCGCGCCATCTGCGATCGCCCGGCATGGCGGCGGGGCCAGGGGAGGGGGGGGGGGGGGAAGGGAGCGAGGTCTTTGAGCGTTGCTGGCCAGCTTGGGCCTCCTGACCCCGTGGAGGCCTCCTCATCCTCCTCCTCTTCCTCCCCCTCCTCCTCCTCCTCCTCCTCCTCCTCCTCCTCCTCCTCCTCCTCCTCCTCCTCCCATTCCTCCTCTTAGTCCTCCTCAAAGTCGGCCTCTTAGTCCTCATCCTCCTCCTGCTGCTGCTCCTCCTCCTCCTCCTCCTCCTTCCAGTCCTCCTCCTCCCATTCCTCCTCCTAGTCCTCGGCCTCCTTCTTGGGGAACCAAATCGTTACCGCTACTCTCCGAACCTCTCCCAGGGTGCGCTCTGACCAAAATTCCGAGGAGAATGCAGCCGTGGCGGCGATGGCCTCCTGGGAGGCCCCCCGAGAGGCGAATACGAGCCTGGGGGCAGCGGTATCGCTGCATCTCGCCCCTCTGACATGTACTGGAGGATATCCTGCAGAGCGACTGGGGAGCAGAAGGGGAAAGGGAGGAGGAGGAGGAGGAGGAGGAGGAGGAGGAGGAGGAGGAGGAGGAGGAGGAGGAGGAGGAGGAGGAGGAGGAAGAGGAGGAGGAGGAGGAGGAGGAGGAGGGGGGAGGGCGGGGTGATGGGAGGGGGGGTGGCTCGCGCGGCCGGGCCGGAGCCCTGCGTGGCCGAAGGCGCGGCGGCGGGCAGGCTGGGACGGTGGCCTCTCGCAGGCAGCGGGAGAAGGACAGGGGACACCGCAGGGGCTCCAGGCGCATCGCGCAGCGATATGGAAGAATCTTAGGTCGGGTGTGTCCCCCTATAGGCGGATTTTCGCAGAAAAATATGAAAAGCTAGCAAAAACACACCCAAAATACGCAAACATATTTTATATGTATTCAAACAGTCGTCCCCAGACTACGTTTTCTGACTATGTTTCCACATTCCCCCCGTGGAGGGACGTGCCCGACTTACGAAGAATCGCATTCCGCCGCTCGAGCACAGGAGAGGAGACTCGAGGCTCAGCATGCGGGGACCTCTGGTCGTGGGCAGCCCTGTCGGGGTGCCCGCGGCGAGCCTCTGGGGGGGCGCCGAGGGAGGGGGGGGAGAGGACGGGCTCCGAGAGCCGAGCCTCTGGCGGGGCCCGAGGCTCTGCGCTCGGTCCCAGCCCACCAAAGGGCCTCGGCCCTCCAAGGCTCTCTGGGGTAACGTCGGGCATGCCCCCCTGGAGGAGGAGGAGGAGGAGGAGTGTTGACAGATGGTTCCAAACCTGCTGTGGGCACGACGCTCCGACCATGTTGTGTAAGCTACTTTGCACCGCTTCGACTACACCTTGGACCGCTCCCCCCCCAACTCCGCCTGCAGGAGGACGTGCCCGACCTGACCCCTGGGGCCGCAAACCGAAGTTTACCCACACCTCGGGAGCGGCCAAGAGGGGGGTGTCCAAGAGGGGGGGGGCAAATCATGACCGGCGGCATGTGCGCGGCCCAGCGGGGGGGCCTGGGACGCAATGAAATAAGAAGAGGCGCCATGAAAGCACAGGAAAAGACATGTCCCGCGCCATGAAATCCCCCCCCCCCCTAGCCATCACCCCCACCTTGTCCGCTCCCGAAACACCCCTCCTCCCCGGAAACCTGTCCGGGGAGGTGCGCCCCGAGAAGAGCCCCGAAGCCCGCCGCCCTCCCGTGGCCAGGACCGCCCGCCGGGACGAGCGGGCGGCGCCGGCACCTCCCCTATATGGCAAGGGCCCCCGCCCGCCGATGGGCCCCCGCCCTCCGATAGGCCCCCGCCCCCGCGGAGGGCCCGAGGGCCCCTGCAGCGCCGCGACCCTCGCGAGGAGCGGCGCGCCCTCGCGGCAGGCTCGCTCGCGCGCGCGCGCGGAGCCTCGGCGCGGTGCAGGTTGCGGGCGCGCGCGCGCGCGGAAAGGCGGCCGGCGGCCTTCGACCGCTTGAACTTCTGCACGCGCAGGCAGTGCAGCCCCAGGAACCGGGGCGGGGAGGCTTCGGGGAGGCGGGCTGGGTGGCGGAGAGGAGATGGGGCTACAGTCGGAGCCGACAGCAAGGATGCGCGATGGGGACGCAAGGGGCTCGGACGCTCATGCCGAAGCTTTTCGAGCGGGGCTGGCCATCGAAAGTGTTTGAGGATGGGCCGGCGATGGCCGACGGGGCAAGGATGTAAGGGCGCCCTTGGGAAGTCCATCATACTTACTATCCATGTTGGCTGTGCGATGGAGGGAGAACAACAAAAACAGAAGCATCATTTCTCGGAGGTCCGCGTGACTTTCGTGGATCGGCGCTGAAACCCCTCCCTGGCGCGCGGAGCGCGCCAGGGGCGGCGCCGTATATGCGCCGACAGGGGAGCCCAGCACCAATAACATTAAATCTGCGCGGAACTCCGAGGAAGTATGGCAGGAAACAACATCTGGGAGGTCTTCGCAAGATCGACTGCAGATTGAGGGGCCATCAAGCCGGAGCAGCCCACATCCGGCCTGGGACCAAGCCGAACTGAGCCAGATTGAGCGGGCGTAGCAAGACTGAAACGGGATTGAGCCAGACATGAGGGCGGCTTCAGACTCAGACTACCAGCGCCAGTGGCGAATTCAACCTCCCAGGAGTGACATCCCGAGGGAGCGATGGAGAGGAGCGAGCAGGCGGAAGGTGTCCCCCCCCCCACCCGCTCGGCAGCACGCGCGTCGGGCTTCCGCGCGAGCCGATGGCGAAGGACGAAAGGGGATGGAGGACGCGGAGGGACACGGGTGACCACCCGTGAGCCTGTGCAAAGAATAGCCCCCCAGAGGTGCCTCGGCTGGCTGCACAGAGGCCCCTAAAAGTGGCTCGGGGCGGGTTCATCGCCCAGAGTTCAGGAATCCGAGGTGGAGTTGGAGGAGGAGGGAGACAAGGAGGTCAAGGAAGGCTAGACGGCAAAGACGGGCGATATCGCTCATCGTTAAAAGAACAACGCTGTTGCACCCTGGTGCTGGTGGGCCAGAGCCACTAGGGGCCATCGAAGGAAGGGAAGGGAAGGGAGAGGAGGAGAAGGAGGAGGAGGAGGAGGAGGAGGAGAAGGAGGAGGAGGAGGAGGAGAAAGAGAGGAGGAGAGGAGGAGGGAGGAGGAGGAGGAGGAGGAGGAGGGAGGAGGAGGAGGAGGAGGAGGAGGAGGAGGAGGAGAAGGGCCCTCCACAAGGCCTACGAGGGAGGAGGAGAAGGAGGAGGAGGAGGAGGGTGAGGAGGACGAGGAGGAAGCAGGAGGAGGCAGGTCAAGGACAAGGAACGAACGAGCACGATGGGAGGACGGGCCACGGGAACCGGCAGATGAGCGTCCCGGGATTCTGCTGGAGGTGGTGGAAGTAGCTCCTCAGCATCTTCTTCAGCAGGGAGTGCTCCTTCGCGAGGGGGCGGTCCACGAGGGAAACCGATCTGCCGCACGTAGAGTGACAAGAGTGACACGAGAGTGACAAGAGTGACAAGAGTGACACGTAGAGTGACAAGAGTGACACAAGAGTGACACAAGAGTGACAGACCTGACACACGGGAAACCACTCTGTCACAAGAGTGACCCTAGGCAAGAGTGACCTTTGGTGCGCGGCCCAAGGGGGGGCCATTTGGGCACACCGCCAGGCGCGCAAGTCGCTGCTATCGCATCGCACTGCGCGATCAGGGGGCCCCTTGGGCCCGCACCAAAGGTCTCGGCTGCGAGCCCAGGGGGGAAAATAGAAGGAGAAGGCCTTCTGGGAAGTCGGCGGAACTTCTCTTCGGAGCCCTCACGCCTTCTGAGAAATGTTTGTTCTGTCTTCAGGGAAGGCTTCGAAAACGTTTCAGAAGGCCGGGGGACTTCTTCCGAACCTTCTGAGGAGGCCATCTCCTTCTCACTTCCCCACCTCCCTCGCCGCCGAAGGTCACTCCGGAGAAAGGTCACTCTTAAATGTAGCCTTAGGTCGGGCATGTGATTGTACAGGTGGACCTTGGGCGAAAAATTGAAAATAGCCAAAACATATTGAACAGCAGTAAAAGAGATTCGTCCCCAGAGTATGTTTTGCTACTTTTGAATACTCCTCCTGTAGATAGGAACAAGGAGAGGCGACACCAACACCAACAGGGCGGGGAGATGCGCGGAGGCAACGAGGGTCTCCCTGGTAGTTTGGTCCCCCCCCTCTCGCTCGAGACATCCCCAGCATCTAGCTCGGGGGGGCATCGTGGACCTCCTCGCTGCAGGTGGGCCCCCTGGTGGTGTTGGTATCGCTTCTCCTCCCTCCTCCTGTAGAGGGGCACGCCCGATTTAAACGTAGCCGAATCGACGCGGGCCGGTGGCACCAAGGGAGGCGCCCCGGAGCTCCCCCCCGCACCGTGGACCCGTGCGCGAGCGTCGGGGGGAGGCGAGGAGGCGAAGCTGGGAGGCCCTCCTTCTCCTCCTCCGTCTCCTCCTCCTCCTCCTCCTCCTCCTCCTCCTCCTCCTCCTCCTCCTCCTGCTCCTACTCCTCCTCCTTCTCCTCCTCCTCCTCCTCCTCCTCCTCCTCCTCCTCCTCCTCTCCTCCTCCTCCCCCTCCCCCTCCTCCTCCTCCTCCTCCACCTCCCCTCCTCCTCCTCCTTCTCCTCCTCCTCCTCCTCCTCCTCCTCCTCCTCCTCCTCCTCCTCCTCCTCCTCCTCCCCCTCCCCCTCCTCCTCCTCCTCCTCCTCCTCCTCCTCCTCCTTCTCCTCCTGCTCCTCCTCCCACTGGTAGGTCTTCGTCGCAAGGATTTTAGGGACAATTGAAAGTCTACTGGAGGGCCGCTACGGCGGACGAGGCCGTGCGCCTGCTCTCCTCGACGGCGAGCCCAGGGGAAGGCGAGAATGCGAAGCTGGGAGGCAACTGCTGGGAGGTCTTCGTCGGAAGGGTCAACCGAAGAAGCTTTTAAGAAGCTGGGAGGTGCCGGGATAACGCTTCCAGGGTGCGGAAGGGTTATCGTTACGCCAGAAGGGGGGTAATGTTCTTGAAAGCCTCTTCCGGTTATTCGGCGGTGGACAAGT